AATAAAAAATAAAAAATATATTTTATAAATTGAATTTATTATTTATTTGATTAAATTAGTTGTTATAAGTTAATTGCTATTTTAGAATAATTGCTCAATTTTTTTCTTATTATTAACCTATAAATGAAAATTACATGATCATGAGTTTTATAAATAAGACATGTCTTTTTGTTTAACTAGATAAGTTTGTTGGCAAACTTCTACTTTTTTACTTTACTCTATTTTTTAGATATTTTTGTGCAAAAAAAAAATGATTTGAATTAAGTGACTCTATAAATAATGAAAATTCATAAAATGTTATTATAAAATTATAACATCCTGATAGCAATATATTATATATATATTTTTGCTATACTAAAATAAGAAAGCTTTTTACAATTATTTTTATACTATTTTCTTATCAATATTTTTTGATAAATTCACTAATTATTATTATTATTTAATTTTGTAACTAAAACACAATAATAATATAATGCGGAGATGAAGAAGAATATTGGAAGAACAACATGAGGACATGGAGGAGTGAGAGGAGGAAGATGATGAGAGTCAGCGTTTTTGGGATTCAATATTACTTAAGGAAATCCAGTCATCATTAACTGCAGCCTTCTTATAATAAAATTGATCAGTTCTAAGTAGAGGGCAAGGGTGAAACTGATAATAAAAAAAACATTGATCAGTTCTACAGTTGAGGGCAATGGTGAAACTGATAGAAACTGAAGTATAGGATGCTTCAAAGGGATTTATAAAGACTTAAAAAGCCTTTTGCCAATTAGAAGTTGCTGCTTGGTGATTAAAGAATGGGAAAATAGGCAATTTAATTTAATTAATTAGCTCCTTAAAAATAATACGTCCTGAGAAGTAGGGAACCATGGGAACAGAGGGGTGTTCGCTGGAGGCGTTGGAAGGAAACGATGCGTTTTTGTCGTTGAAAGGGGAATATTTAAAGAGAAGATCAGCTTCCCATTTGCGGCCATCCAATGATGTAGTTGTTGAACTTGCACCGCAGTTGAGGACTATGATGTCAGTGGCGTTGTAAGGTGCGGCTGTGGTGGATGGCAGGAGAACATGTAGGAGAGAGATGAGGAAAGTGGTGAGTGACAGTAGATTCATTTTGAAGCAGAGCAGTCCTGTACCCTGAAACTTATCTTTAATTAGTGGCATTCTGTATATAATTCGGAGATTGTTTAAAAGTCAGAGATTAGAATGGGCGATCGATTGACGTTTATCACGTGGTAGGAATTTTCTACAGTAGAACTCAACGGTGAGAATGATTGAAAGGAAGTGAAATATGCCATGTGGAAGAAATTTCATTGAGAAAAATTGAGGCGAAGACCTGCAAGTCTTTGGTTGAATTCTATGAGGCCTGGATTAATGACCCCGCCACTCTAATGCCATTAACATTAAAGTCCCTTTGAATGTCACTTTAATACTCCTTTTTAAAAATAGAACTGAAAACTGGGTGTCACTTTAATTTGTCTTCCTTTTTCTTGGCAACATCTATTTTTTAATGTGTATAATGGTCATAAAAGCAACAACACTTTAGAAAAGCAAAATAAAGAGCTTGTGATTCAATAGTTATCCTAGACCTGAAACAGAAGAAAAGAGAAAAATATAAAAAATGAAGACTTCTTTGGAGACCTTGCATGAAATCTCTTGGAAGCATCCAACTTCATGCTAGGAAAGTCTCCTCTCCCTTAAACGAGAATTACGTGACTAATGTATCAGATTTTCATTTGTCGAAATTTACTCCCATTAGACTCAGTTCAAAGTTTTTTCATCTTCATCATTTTCACCATCCTCAACATATTCGTTGTAACTAGCTTCGCTATCATAATTATTGTTACCAGGGTCACTGTTCTCATCATGATTATCATTGTCATCACCATGATCATCATTTTCATCATCACGATTGACATAATGTTCTTCTTATACTTTGCTTGGCATATTCTTCAAGGCAAGAAAGCAGCTCGACAAAAATTTTAAGGAGCAGACAAATGTTTTTCTCCGACATAAATATTTGTTCCCTTTGTTAAACGTTTATCATAAGCTAGAACTCAATCAGCACTTCATGGGTTTAATCTGTATTTTATTAGATTTTTTATTAATAATAAATTTTTATAATAATAATTAATTATAAATATTTATTTATTTTTTAGTAGGTTAACTTGAAAAATATTTTTTTATTATTTATGTAGAATATATTATAAATATTATTTAAAGAGCAGTGGTATAAAGGATAAAAATTGAAGAC